TAACACTTCAGAAAAACACTCTTACTTTAAAAACACTTCTTGCAGGGCACTGGAAGCCATCCCTGCCAGCAAACGTTAGCTTTTCACTACTGCTCATCTAAGTTAAGAATGCGGAAAGCATTCCATTTTTTTTCCATTACAAATGTATTTTTGTATGTGTTTAGTATATTTCAATTCATACTAGTTATCACTAGTCAGATTAAAAAATAAGTAATTTTAAAATGTGTATTTTAATAATGATTAATCATGACTGTATTTATCACTCTCAACTATTAATTACCAAATATATTTGCTGGATGTAAGCCTTTTGTATTTCAATAAAATATAATAAAACTATTTACTTGAAAATTTCACAGGGAATTGGATTGGTATTTAATCTCACACTGAGACACGTCACGTTATTTTAAAACTGATGTAAAGCTACAGTTGGAAATGAAAGCCATAGGGAAAGTGAAACAAAATTATATCTCCCAGATATCAAAGTCTGAATTACTTCAATCTTCTTAAATTTAAAAAATACCACTGATTTGGCCCTTAAGACAGGAAAATTTGATAACACTTTAAAAAAAAAAAAAAAACCAAAAAAACCCCCAAAAGCGACACGACACCCCCACCCCAAAATAAAGCTTTTCCTGCAGCATACAAACTCGAAGCATCGTTAAGTGGTTTCACTCACTCGTCACTGATGAAAAAGGTGCAAAGAGTACTCAGCATAGCAAATGATAAATATGGTGGAAGCGACAGCAATAAAGGTTAAAAAATAGTAACGAAAGTAGAAAGATACTTGTTTCAACAAACACTGAGAAATGAAGTGCGAGACTTAAAGATAACAGAATCAGAATTCCTTAATATCAGAACGTTATTTTAGAGGAACACTTACCTTAGAAAGTAAAGACAAAATCTTTACCGGGGTAGCTTTAAGCACCATAAACATCTGATAGAAAAGCATCAGGCAGTTCCGGCACAGAAAGCCTTTTATCCTTCTCATAACTTAATTTACCCTGACTTATTACGCTTTAAATCTTTAAAGACAAAAGGGTAAGAGAGAGACAACTGAGATTTCAACATGGAATGTATTTATTTTTTTCTATAATTTTCAGTACAGTATTAGGAGGTCATTTAAATACTTTAAATAAAGATTTCGGAGAAAAACCCGAAGGATTCAGCTAGGTAAAGAAAAACAATCTCATCAGCGGATGAAAGACAAGTATTTAATGACCTTGTGGTCCTCGAAGTAGCATTCCCTAGACAATTCATATTCCTGGGTCACCCGGTCAGGAATGTAGCCTGGCACGGTGATTCTCTTCCTCTCCTTTGTTTTCTGGAGTGTTTCATGCAGAAGATCTCAACTACAACGGACAACTTCACTGAGAGGCAGGAAGATTTTCTTTTAAAAATCAAACACACAGAATCAAGCCAACATGTTTACCTCATCATTTTGCTTTAAAAAACAGATTACATTTCTCTCTATAACCGTAGATCAGTAGGGCACTAGGTAATACTACAATCCAACAGTGTAATCATCAGACACAGTAGATGGGACAACGGAAACAATCGGTAAACGGCTGAACATTGCCTGACGTAGGGGGGGGGCGGAATCTGAAATGAATTGAAAAGTAATTTTGCTGCACAAAAAGATCAGTAAAACTAAAAGCAGATGCTGCTTTTGGTGCAGAAAAAAACCCCAAAACCAACCATGCTACTGTGCAAACCAGAATACCCTGATTTTTGGAATGCATCTTCTGCTTGCCTCAGGCATACTGCTGGAGCAACGCAGAGAGGTGGGAACATCTCATTTGAGAACATCCAGCCACCAGTTCCTCTTCCACTATTTCAAAGTCAATTTTGTTCTCCTGATAGCTCATATTTGTTAGTCATTTAGTTAACAAGAATTTCCATACACCCCATTCTGAAAAATAAATTTTCTTTCTGATGCCAGTCAAGGAAATCCTGGCATAATCACAGGAACAGACTGGAAAAATTCAGTTAACAGTTTTATTTAAGTTCACCACAAGTATGTTTACACATATATGTAATAAAATATTTAAGCATATATATGTGTATACACATACACACACACTTAAGTATTAAGGTTCTTTGCTTATCATGTTCAGCCTCATAAAATCCGGGTTTTTTTATATATATATATATAAAAATATACATATATATACACACACGTATGAACTGAGACTGAATGCATTAAGTCAAGAAGTTAAACCTAGACAGTAATAAATACAGGGTAGGGCATCTCAGCCCTATCAGTTCAGTCATTTTTTTTCTTCCTTGTATCGCATGAACGATCACAGCTTCTTGCAGTGCTAAGTTTCTGGAGACTGGAAGTTCTGAAACTTTGGTTCCAATTCAGTAACACATTAAACCAGTGATTTAAATTTCATAAGCAGCACCTTTAAACTCATGCAACGCTGTACAGGTTTGTACACAACTTGCTAGCCAGCAGTCCGATGCACTTTCATCTTCCAGCCAAAAATTACTGCTTCAGTGAAGAATTTGGGTAAAATGAAAACATTTTCTCGTTTGCAATCACATGACCAAAAAGTAGAGCGGGTACGCAGTGGACGCGGAGATTCCCTGATGCAGCAGATTCATACAGAGTTAACGTATTACTCCAATATCTCCACGAGTACTACGGTAAGGAGTGCATTTATAACAAGCAGCAGACTGTGGCATGCAAGCACAATCCAAGGTCAGCAAGGATGTATGCATCGTGAGCTTTCTCTGTGCTGCAGAACTGTACCTCTTGAAAGTTATTAAGTAAGCATAGTTATGCATTTAAAAACTACAGTTTCCAAGAGGTTTCAAACTGAGTAAATGGTGAGGAAATTATTTTATAGCATAAGCGAACTTTCTCAATTTGTAGAGCAAGACTTCATTTTTAAATCAGGCTGAATAAGTAACTGGACATCAAGCTACTTATATTTCAAATTCCCATCAGAGAGATAACAAATAATCAAGTTTAATTTGTTGAAATAATGGCCAGCACGGTGAAACAATGTGCACATAAGTGAACAAGTGCATCTTGAAGCTGTGTGAAATTAGTAATTCCCACCCACGAACTCCCAAACCAAACTGCTTAATAAGGGAACTGTTACGAGCTATGAACCTTGACAGAGGAGATTGAGATAAAGCTCAGTGTCCGAATCACTATGATATTCCAGTATACTAAAAACTGTAGCTATTCCATCAGCACAGAGCACTAAGATGATGCATTATGTTATTGCACCAAATCTTTATACAGCCTAATAAAAGGTACAGACCTTGTGCATCTCGTTACAATTAAAATAAACAGGATGTCTGAGGCTCAGGCCTCAATATTCAGTTAAGTTACACTGCCACCAAAAAGCTGAACATATTTCCCTTATGCTATCCTTAATCTTACACGCCTCCAGATCTAAGACTTGGACACTTTTGCATAATATATTGAAATTACACTACCTGGATAAGCAAACTGTCCAAGAATTCCTAATGGAAATTTGGTCAGAAAAATAGAAGTCTAAAGGAAATTTGTACTTGAAGAGAAAAAAGAAAAAGAAACTAAGAGAGAAGTGGTACAAGCCCAAATGAGCAGTACATTCTCAGTGTACCTCCAACATTACACACCATTGACATATATGAACGCTCTTCTCAGAATGTACAGAAAACCATTTCTCTTAAACCAAGACAGAGAATGCATTAAATAGGAATTTATGGGTCTCAAGTTTAGGAGGATTTCCCATCAGTTTCTGAAAAAAGTCAGTAAATACAGACACTAGCCAGTTTTCAAATCAGGACATAAAATGTCTCAGATTATGTAAGAGTGTACTCCAACTTCTCCAGAAGTCAAAGCTAAGGCCTCACAATTCCAGTTATGAGAAACAGCATATCCTCTTTACTAGGCCACCGCTTGAAGCCAACTATTCAGTGTTTTACAGAGGTGATTTTATAAAAAGGTGGTTGCAATGCAGTTCTTTGTAATATGTACCCAAGTATAGACAGATCGCTTGAAAGCGTTAAGAGTTATAACAGAAACCGTTAAAGAAAATACAACATATGAACAAAATGCAACAAACTACACCGACTGAAATTTCTTCAAGGTCCTCATACCTAGTGAAGTTCACTACACAAATTAAACATCATGAAGTACAAATTAACAAGCCACATGATTAATAAAATCTGTTCACTTTATATTAAACATCTCTAATACGATTATAGAACGTTTACGCCCTCTGTTGCACAGAGGAACTCTTCCCTTTGTATCATGGGCAAGGGTTCTCATCTCGAACGCTACTGTGCAAAATGACCATTTATTTCAATAGGTTCTGCAGCATAGCTGTAGCATACGTAGGGCGAGCTTGTCTGCTTTCAATCGCTTTTTGAAGATACTGGATACCTCCGCAGCGCTCCCAAATTTCTTCAAACTGTCTCGGCAAAATTTCAGCACCTCGCTTTCGAGTTAAGCCAGTCTCTTCAAGATTAAGCTCACACATATCCATATCGTCCTTACCTGAAATGGTAAAGGGAAAAAGAAAAATCTTCACAGATCTTTTACATCATTCAAAGGTCCCATTAACAAAGATCAGGTCTTTGTTAATTAGATTTCCTCTCTCAGGCTCTGGTTTGTTATCAGACTTCAGAGCTTACGAGGAAATCAGTCCTCAGACACAGATTTTTTTTTTTTTTTTTTTTTTTTTAAACACACAGAGCAGAAAAGCGGTATCAGAATAAACTAGTATCAGATGCTGCCACTGACAAAATCGTGCTTAAAAAGCGAGCAAAAACGAACAAAGGAAAGAAGCCGAGAAGATCAAGATCAGATCTAGATATATTCTCCTAAAATCCACCACGGGATGACAACCGCATTTGTTTTCCACATACTTTCATTTTTACACAGTTTTACGCTGAACTGCTGTTATTATTTAACTTGTTTAAATGTAGCAAAGTGCCTAAGAACTCAAGACTTTTGATCAAGTAGCCAGTATTCCTACTCCGCCAGCCTCCCGTGCTAAACAAACAGTGTTTACCAAATGGAACTGACACAGGGAATCCAATGAAACGATGAGTGTAGCTCACTCGCTATATTTTAATCTTATTTTTAATAGGTGATCCATTGAATGTGGTATTCACGACAACAATGCTGCTTTTAGCTATGGGCTTTGACACTGAACAGGCAACAGTTGGTATAAGGAATTCTATTAAAAATAATTAGCAGAAAACAAAGGAATTTTGTTGCTGGTAGAGCATCACTCTGAAGCTAAACAAATTGTTTATGGCCTTTTCCTCAGTCCCCAAGTTAAATACAAACCTTCAAAACACAGAACTGTAAACAGCATTTCTCCAGTGTTTTCTCCCCCTTTCGTTATCCTCCAGAAAAGGAGGATACATTTCATTACCAGATAAATCTCTGCCTATCCATTGCAACATTTAGTTCCTATTTTAAATGTTTAAGATTAAAAAGCTATTCTCCCATGCTAGGCAGCATAAATATGGTGAAAGCATCAGTTTGCTTTTAGCACCATGCTATGGAAAGACAATATATCATACGCACAAATTGTTTTGATGCAAACTGCTGTTATTTTTCAAAGCTAACTAAAAAACAACAATACAATGATGAGTTGAACTTTTCCAGATAAATTGTGATGTTTTATCTTCACGCTGTCCCCAGTTCCGTGAATAATCTGAGGACACATAATAATAAAACCATTTACATTTGGATTCCCACTCTGTCTATGATTTCCCAGATTAAAGTACAAGTAAAACACGTGACAAGTTACATCTCCAAATGATACTCCGTAACATTTGGCCACCATCGACAGCAGTCCCAAATTCTCACATTCTGCCCAGACAAGAACTGCTGATGAAAAAAAGAGGGGACAACTTGGGAAACTTGTATCATCAGCCTCTTTTTCTAAAGCAAGTTATCAGCTCTGAACCTTTTCAACATTTGGATTTTGCTTTCAATACCAACCTGCTACAAGGAGAATGGGTGCCTTGTCAGGATGAAGTTCCATTTGTCGAGCGATCCACGGCCCGTCAAAATGCGCATACCACCAACCCTTCTTCTTGTTCTGCGGATCTTTGTATTGGTCCGCGGGACGGATGAAGGGAATGCGGAAGTAACGCTGTTGTCTGTTTATTTCAATCTCTTGTTGTCTGGCTGGTAGCTGGGTTGTCGGGTTCTGTTGAGCTATCGTACAAAAAAACCCAGAAAGAAGCAAACAAAAAAACAGAAAACAAGAAAGCCGTATTATGAGTTGCTTGATTAATCAAAGTAAAAGGAAAAAAAAGCCAAACAAAACAAACAAAACAAACCCCCCAAAACCTGAGAGATTCTCTCTGAATACAAGGTCATCTGAAGTCTCATCAAACCTAAAAAGTATTCCCGTCTCGTACGACGTGCATTCTTTTAATCACTACAGCTACAACACTGGTGAGGAAGGGCTCACGTTAACTATTGTATCTATGTGTAACACTAGGTTGCTCAACGACATCAGGTATTTTTAGAAAAAAACAAAGTGAGTAAAATAACATATCCGGCTTTAAATCAATATTTAAAGTAAAACCTCCCATATAAAATTTCTTACCAACCGGAAACATTAATCCATAACTGCTCTAGTTCAATCCATCTCTTTGTAGAGCAAGATCACAGTGCAAAGAAGCATTTTCAGTTACAAAAATACAAAGCACCACTTGAAGATTTTTGACAGTCAACACAGAAGGGTGTGCAATACTGTTAGAAGTGACTAATTTGTTAATAGAAATGTTGACAACAAGTACTGCTTATTACAAAGCTGCCACACCAAACCTAACTTTCTGCCTACATTTCTGTGTACTAAACTCTAGCATTAGAACTACCCTCTGGCCCCTTTCTTTTTTGAAGAAATTGTTTATTTCAGACCATTAAGATCAACAGACCAAACTTCTAGAGGAGACAGAGTTATATGAAATCTTTTAAAGCTTCATATATATTTTTGGTAAACATTTCCCATGATGCATTTTTGGACTCCCTCAGAGTCCCACACATTTCAGACTTTGGAGAGAAACTTTCTTTTGAATAAAAGCAAATACTCTCTATGTTAACTCATCGACTGATCGACCTTCTTAATGTTACGTATATGCTATCATAATCAGTTTTAAATAGTAAATGCTCTTACAAGCAAGATCCTTTCCTTTAATAACCGCCTCTTGCAAAAGTTTACTTATCTTGTTTTAGTGGTTTACAATACCACTGTTACAAATACCCTGTTTAAGAAATTCTGAATGTGAATCTATGCCATCTCTAGAAAAGAAAATCAGTATTAACAGTTCCATTTTTCAGCATAAAGGGGATAATTAAAAGCGAATTCCTTTTTTGTCCATTGTCTATTAAGCTGCAAAGCTAATTTTTGAGCTAAAATTTGATAAAACGAAAAATGACGATCACTTCTAATAATGTAATTTTACAGTTATGAACAAGACTAATAAGACTCGCAACTGCACTTTGAAATTTCTTCCACTTAGATTCAAGCAAAATTAGTTTTTCTAAATGTGAAGAACAGAATCTTAAAAAAAAAAGTACTATACAAATTGTGCCCCCCTGTTTTTTTTCCATAAACGAAGAGAAGAAAAACAAAATGGATTTTAACAGGTGAATGCTACTTTTAGACGTCAACTCTGATAAAGCATGTATTTTACAGGGAGACATAGTCTACAGTTTATAGGAAATTAATTCTATTTTCTGCAAACTGTCTGAATATCTGTCACAGCAGATCAGTGCTTTAGTATTGTCAAACACTTTTTGCACTGCAATGGTAATTGCTAAGACTTATTTCTACCCCTATGCATACCTAAATCCAAGAGGAAATCTAGAGGACAGGAAAGTTGAGCAGCCAATATAGCCTCTACTTTTCAGTGCTATGGAATTGTAGTTCTTTATTCGAAAGAAACCATCACCTGAATGTTAGTTTGTGTTCTAGGAAAATAGCTGTTATATTAAGCTGATTCCAGAGTTTTGCTACAACAAAAGGCCATGTGCAGACAGTAAAAAAATGTTAGAACAAGCACGGTATTTCTTGAGGGGGGGGTGTGGGGTGGGGGAAAGAGGAGATTGTACCTTCAAATAACCTACATAAAAAGGTTATTTCATTCTCCCTTCCCATGACTGCTCAAAGGGGTAGGATCTCATGAAGGTAAGCAGTAAAGTACATTTGTAAATTACTAAAGTAACATAATTACCATCAGTTGAATAACATTGCCAAATTGTAAAATAGAATCTTTTTGAACAATTAAATTCTATGTACACGTGTAGCAAAACACTGGATTAATTAACGTTAGTATAGAGCTCTCAAGTGTTCCTATTCTTCAAAGTTAGCTTAAATAACCAACTCCCCACTTACGTGAGTTGCTCAAAAATGGTGCAAAATCTGTGAACAAATATTACATGTTGAACAAAACATAAAAGTGCTGATCCTTTGTAAGTTATAGTTTCATTACCTCAACATTTTTTCACCAATGCTGACGACAGACATACGGAAATTCTAGTTACAAAATAAACACAGATGTTGAGCTAAGTATTTCTATTCATTTTCTGCTCACTGACATATACAAAATGTCTCCTTTCCTCAAGTTTCATAGATTTCCAACTGCTTCTATTTTCATCAGGATTTATTTTTGAAATTGATTACTTCAATGATTTGCGATGCGTGTTACAAAACCTCAGTTGTATACATGCTAAGCACAGGTTGCTGTAACAAATTGGTTAGTTAATTAACTTAAGTACTTTGAATTTTTGACATTTCTGCAATGAAAAAATTTCCAGACTTCTATTAATACCAAACCTGCCTATTCCGATAATAATATGCAAACCAGTGTTTAGCTTCTATACTGAATGTGTGAACTTAATTAAAGGATACCCGTACAATTATATGACATTAGTGAAAAGACGGAAAGAAGAAACTACATCATTTGAAGTACACATCCACTGACACCGGAAAGACTTTTAGCTTAAACATCTAAGAAATCAGAGTTCCTTCTTACTACCTTCTCAGGTCATTACAATACATAGATCTGAAATGCCCATGTAGTATAACTATTTGCAATGGGAAGAATTACTTCTGACATTAACGAGAGTCTCTGAAGGTCACTATCAGTGACTTCTGAACTGCAATGTTCTAACTTTTCTTCAGAAATATGAAGCTATATTTCAAGAAAAGTAAAAAAATGTAATGCAAAACATTGAAAAGAATGCAGTAAATGTCTAACTAAATGTGATGAGATCATGAATATTCCAAGCGTTGTTTGCACAAATCCAAAGATTTTCTGCTCTTTGATACTTCCCCATCAGCAATCCTGCACATGAATATTTATTTTATCCATTTAGCTCCAGACAGAATTTGCAAGCTCAAATTCAAAGCAACTTACCACTTTGCAGAAGTGCTTCAAATGCCTTTTCCTGCTGTTTCAGTCATAAGCTTTCTTAAGCGCTTCAAACCACGTTACTAGGCATGGCCACAAAGACCCATTCTTTGATAACATCTTTTCCAGGGGTCCAGATTTTACCTGCCATATATCTGTTACCAAAGTTCCCTGAAAAGCTCAAATTCTCACGTAATGCTCAAAGCAATGCATAACTCGGTAAATGAATCAAGGGGAAGGAAACACCTTGTATAAGGACTAACACTGAGAGTAAGTAGGGCACCTGTATCCCCTGGGATCTGTATCCCCTACGCCCCAGCTCTAATCCCAGGCTAACGGGACCTTGGAGAGCACCTTCTCCCCATCCTCCCTTTCCTCTGCCTCTTCCATTAACTGCGTGGCCAGGAACACAAGAATCACGGAACCAGAAGACAGCAGGAAAGATCTGACTGAATTATTACATCCATTTGCTGTGATTCTGCTCATTTCTTAGATTCCTTCTATAACAGGCGATCACTGGACTTGGGGGGTGGGGCGGCGGGGCAAG